AGGAGGGACAGGGGCTGGAAGCTGCCCTGGGGGCACAGATCAGACCAGGTCACTGCCATCTGACAGTATGAAGGGTTTCCCAGCCTATGAGCTGACCGAGTGAGCTCAGTAAGCAGTGTTAAGCAGCAGCCTGCTTGGGTAAGGGTGGGTGGGTGTCTGGGTGAGTGGGTGAGGATGTGTGGGTGGAGGACATGAGAAAGGAGCTTGTGGCTAATGGATGTTACCACGAACGTGTGTACAGATGTGCATGTCTGTGTGTGAGGGTCTCTGGGTCTGCCGGTCGTGTCCACAGAAGTCTGTGCAGACCTGTGTCTTCACAGATGGGGCTGTTTGAAGTCAGGCCTCTGGGAGCGGGCTCCTGGGGTCACCTTATGAAACCCTGTGTGCCAGCACCCCAGATGTGTGTGCATGAGCACAGCATGTTTGTCTGTTTGGGTGTGTCCAGACAGGTTGTGTTGGTGGTGGGGTAGGGTGGGGGTGGTAAGAAGGTCAAGGAAAGAAGGCTCTAGTCAGGCAGCTGGGGGCAGGGTCATTAACCAGAATCAGAGCTAGAAATCAGGGGGCTATGGCCCACAGGGCCCTGTGTGAGTATGAGTCTTTAACTGGTTCAGATAACTTAATGCTGCCTCCCACTATACTCCCTGGGTCCTTTTACCCACCCTCTGCAGGTCTGCACCCAATGACATCCTGGGCCTTCGCCTGCCCCCAGAGCCTGTGCTGAATGCCAACACAGTGTGCCTGACACTACCCGGCCTGAGCAAGCGGCAGATGGAGGTGTGTGTCCGCCACCCGGATGTGGCTGCCTCAGCCATCCAGGGCATCCAGATCGCCATCCACGAGTGCCAGCACCAGTTCCGGGACCAGCGCTGGAACTGTTCTAGCCTGGAGACCCGAAACAAGATCCCCTACGAGAGCCCCATCTTCAGCAGAGGTAGCCCTCCCACCTCAGACCAATCCACCCATAACTCACTCCTTCAAGCTGGCAGCCTCCCCAGGTGCCCCTTGACCAGCCATGCCACCTGCCTGCCTCCTTCTGAAAGGCCACAGGTTCCAGGATTGGCTCTGGGCTGGTGTGTGGCAGGTTCCAGGCCCGAGGGTGGTCCAGGGCTCCTGCCTTCTCCTGTCCCACTTCTGACACCCCGTGTTTCAGACTCAAGAGCTATCCATATTGGTCACCCACCCGCTTTAAACATCGTGTGGGACAAGGAGCCCAGCCCATGATGAGCTGCTCAAAGTCAGTGGGTGGGGGTGGTGCTGGTGGTGCTGGTGGGGGAAGCCTGGGCAGGTAAAATATTTGTGCTCCTGCAGAAGCTCCTCCGGGCAGTACAGGCAGGGTACACCACCAGCCTCTGTGTCATCTCACCGCCCCCAGAACTGCTCTGATTCAGAGGCACTGGGTGTGTGCGCACCTGAGTGCGGTGTCACTTGCCCGGCAGCTGGCAGACCTGCCAAGTGCTTTTCTTACAACTCCTAGGAGCATTTGGTCCCTCCACTCCCTGCATCACCCCCCCCCCTGAAAAACACGTGGCTTCTGGGTGGCCCTGGGAATGACAGGAGGTTCTGTCACTCACCTCCATTCACATAGGTCTCCAGGCCTGGTGTCTTAGGCCTTGAGCATGGAAATGGGGACCATGCCCTCTGGATGGGCCTAGCTGGGTTCCCATCTCTTCCCAACTGCCTAGGGAGACAGGGTGAGGACCCCCACGGACGGCCTGTGTGAGACGAGTCCAGTCCTCAAAGGACAATGGAGGAGGAGGGTCCCCAGATATGCTGTGCCTTGGGGCCTGTGGCATCTAAGGGACTCAGAGCTGAGGGAATCCCAACTTCCAAAGGACCACAGCTAGGAACCTATCCCGACCGGCTGGCACCCCTTCTTGCACC